ATTATAAATTGTTCTATTATAAGGACACATGCACATGTATGTTCATTGTGGCACTGTTTACAATAGCAAAGACTTGGAACCAACCCAAATGCCCATCAATGATAGACTGGACAGGGAAAATGTGGCACATATACACCATGGAATAGTATGCAGCCATAAAAAATGATGAGTTCATGTCCTTCATAGGGACATAGATGAACCTGGAAACCATCATTCTCAGCAAACTGACACAAGAACAGAAAACCAAACACCACATGTTATCACTCATAGGCGGGTGTTGAACAATTAGAACATGTGAACACAGGGAGGGGAGCATCACATACTGCAGTCAGTTTGTGGGGGGCTAGGGGAGGGTCAATGGGGGGTGGGGAGGATGGGGAGGGATAACCAGGGGAGAAATACCAGATATAGGTAATGGGGGGATGAAGGTAGCAATCCACCTTGCCATGTATATACCTATGCAACAGTCCTGCTTGATCTGCACGTGTACCCCAGAACCTAAAGTACAATAATAATAAAAAAAAAAAGAACAGTGCCTGGCACATCATAAACACACAAAAAAATACTAGCTGTTATCATCCGAGAGTGTCACCTAGATAGTGAAGTCAGCAAGGCTGGTGGCAGGATTTGTGGTGGAGAACACCACAGGAATCAGATTATGGGGAAGGAGAGAATACCATAGGAGCTTATGATTTGTGCAGTGGCAAGGGCTAATTGGGATATGATATACTGTTTGTCTTCAAAATTTCAAACAAAACTGATAGGAACTACTTTTATTATGGAGGCACGGTAAAAAAAATTATTCTTTTAATTAGTTCACCTTGAGATTTGAAGTTGTCTTTAAGTTTTCATGAGGATTCTTCTAGTATAATTTGTTTTCTAATTTTTTAAAGAGTAAGAGTTTAAAGAAATTCTAGGCTGGGCGCAGTGGCTCACGCCTGTAATCCCAGCACTTTGGGAGCCCAAGGTGGGAGGATCACCTCAGGTCGGGAGTTCAAGACCAGCCTGACCGACATGGTAAAACCCGTCTATCCTAAAAATACAAAATTAGCCGGGCATGGTGGCACATGCCCGTAATCCCAGCTACTCGGGAGGCTGAGGCAGGAGAGTTGCTTCAACTCAGGAGGCAGAGGTTGTGTTGAGCCAAGATCGCGCCATTGCACTCCAGCCTGGGCAACAAGAGTGAAACTCGGTCTCAGACAACAACAACAACAAAATTATCTGGGAGTGGTAGTGTGAGCCTGTGGTCCCAGCTACTCAGGAGACTGAGGCAGGAGAATCACTTGGCTGCCTCCGCCCTGGAGGCAGAGATTGCAGTGAGCCAAGATTGCACCACTGCACTCCAACCTGGGTAACAGAGCAAGACTCTGTCTCAATAAAAAAGGAAAAAGAAATTGTAGTGCAAGATTTATGTATAAAGATAGATTGTTAAAACATGGCTTTTTACAGTGAATTGGCAAAGGTCTTCATTAATTTGCAATTCTTCAAAGGCACACATTGTTCTCTTTTAAAGATAAATCATTTCAGAAGTACACTGTCTATAGCCAGATGCATTATACTTAAGTTTTTATGAGACTTCTTTCTGGAGCTTGTTTAAAGAAGAAGGAAAAAAAAAAGACACCCTACACAACTGTGTTTAAAGCTTCCAAGATATTTGTCTGTAAATATGTTTCTAAATTCGATTATACTGAAACATGTCTCAAATGAAACATTTTTTGTTTTCTCTCAAACAGCATTCTAAATCCATCAGACCATTAGGTAGTGGAGTTACTTGTTTGCTTAAACCATAGCTTTGAAAGCCCAAAGGCTGACTGGGTTTATGAGTTTAAAAGAAAACGTGTTTAACTTCTTATTCATAGTGACGATGGAAGCATTTATTAACTACTGCCATCCTTTATGTGCATTTTCTCATTTGGTTCTCACAACAGCCTAGTGAGATGTACAATAATCCCAGGTTACTGACAAAGAAACGGAGAGGTTAAGTCAGTTGCTTGAGCACATCCATCTAGTACAAGGTAGAAGTGGAAGGAATTTAAACCTTGGTTCATTAGACCTCCATGGCCAGTCCTTTTCTAGTATAGTGACTTGTCTACTGTAAAATCTATTTTGACAGTAATTTGTATTGTATTCTGTTCAATGTATTGCTATCAGAATAGTCTTTTGCTTTTTTTGAGATGGGGTCTCATTGTTGCTCAGGCTGGTGTGCAGTGGCTCTATCTCAGCTCACTGCAGCCTCCGCCTCCCAGGTTCAAGTGATTCTCCTGCCTCAGCCTCCTGAGTAGCTGGGATTACAGGCATGCACCACCATGCCTGGCTAATTTTTATATTTTTAAGTAGAGACAGGGTTTCGCCATGTTGGCCAGGTCTGTCTCGAACGCCCCACCTCAAATGATTTGCCTGCCTGGCCTCCCAAAGTGCTAGGATTACAGGTTTGAGCCGCCGCGCCCAGCCAGAATAGTCCATTTAAATGTAAGTTATCACAAAGACTTATGAGATCCTAAACTCTGTATCATGCCTTATCCCACTCCCAGTCCCTTCCCCGATAACCTCTCCTCTCACTCACTCAGCCTGAGACACACAGGCCTTGCTGCTCCTCCTCAGACCCACAGGGCTCATCTCTCACCAGACACCCCTGCTTTCCTCCCAGATGACTGCACAGCTCATCTACGTCCTTCAGGGCCTTTGGGGGCTTGCTCAATGGCAGTGAGGCCCTGTTGACCACCTGATTTTAAATTGTAATACCCCTTCTTCCTTCCACAAGCACATCCTCTTCTTTCCTGCTTCATTTTTCTCCATAATTCTTACCATCATGGGCAAGTATGACAATAGAATTTTGGGCTTTAATTGTACTGGCCAGTGTCTTGGTTTCGAGGTGGTGCGCTTCTTCAGATTGAATTTACGCTCACTGTGGCAGGAGACGGTCTGGCCCCAAGGCAGAAATTGGCAGAGCTAGCTGGGTGGGGCCTCTGCCAACGAAGTGGACTAAAGAGCAAGTGCAACCACACATTCTAGGTCTGGGGCAATAGGGCTCATTCTAAATCTTACCCATCAGTGTGAATGGAATTCTTTGTGTTTTTCTAGGCTTGAGAACATAGCTGGGACTGTCTGGTAAAAATCTTCAAGGCTTATATATACCTGGGCAGGACTGGGGCAAGGGGGTAACTCACAGTAAGGATCTTCATAAAGCCACCAAGTGATGATAAACCTACAATAGTAAAAATGTTGGTAAAGTGTCTTCCACAAAAAAGTATATAAATGTGAACTCTTTGTACTCTTTCTTTTTCAACATTTTTTTTTTTTTTTTGAGACAGAGTCTCGCTCTGTTGCCCATGCTGGAGTGCAGTGGCGCAATCTTGCCTCACTGCAACCTCCGCCTCCCAGGTTCAAGCAATTCTCATGCCTCAGTTTCCCAAGTAGCTGGGATTACAGGTGCGTGCCACCATGCCCAGCTAATTTTTGTATTTTTAGTACAGAGGGGGTTTCACCCTGTTGACCAGGCTGGTCTCAAACTCCTGACCTCAGGCGATCTGCCAACCTTGGCCTCCCAAAGTGCTGGGATTACAGGTGTGAGCCACTGTGCACCTCCTCTTTGCACTCTTGATGAAAATATTAGCATACTGCTGATTTAATTGTCTGTCCTCACCAGGCTGTGAGCCTCCTGAGAAAGGAGACTGTATGCTGTTCAAATCTGTTTCTCCAGGACCTAGATCAGTTACTGACTATTCAAAGTCAAGAGCTACTTTCAAATTCTGTCCCAGTCCCTTAACTTAGTACCTGATAGATAGGAGGTTCTCAGTTTACAGTAGTAGCTTTTAACATTATTTCATTACTTTGTATGATTAGTTCTAAGAAGGCATCAAATGTTTTGAATTAATGAATTTTTGACATTTAGGAAATCACTAGAATTCTTTAGGTTTTCATTTTCTCTCTTCTACCATTAGAGTATTAACCTAGAGAGCCACAGGGTTGTCGGAAATCTGTAAAATGTGGAAAGTATGAAATATT